CCTGCCGCAGCACGCTTCCTCACTGGCCGACCGGCTCGGGGATCCGCTCCCAAGCCTGAGACCGGCAGTCGCCCCTCATCGCTCGGCAGTCACTGCTGAGGAAAAGTTCCCTTGGGGGAGAGAGCCGGACATGGCAGCAGAGGTGGGCCCGCGGCCACTGCAGGCGGCGCTCGTGGTCTCGGGTCTCCGGGCCGAAGGCTGGCCAGTCTCCGCGGCGTCCCCGAGCTGGCGCCCCAGCCGGGGGTGCAGCGCACGCGGGAAGAAGGCCGGAGGGGTGCCGCGACCCTGCAGCAGGAAAGGGCTCAAGCGTTCCGCCTCACATGCGCAGACTGCTAGCACACCCACCCCGTGCCCCGCCCTCCGGGCTCCTGATTGGGCGCGGCGCGAGCTCCCGGGTGCTCATTGGTGCCTTCAAGTGCTCGTCACCGCCTCCTCCCGCCCTCTCGCGCGGCGTGCCGGGACCTCCCTGCTAACAAGTTAGGTGGTACGGCGGCGAGAGTGAGTTAGGGCACCGTGGAGAGTGACCGTCGGACCCCGCTGCCGCCATCTTCGGGCCCTCGGGACCCCGCCCCGCGAGCGCCGCCGGACGCCAGTTAGAATTTTGCGCGGCATTCAATTGTTCGGGCTAGGAGGGCACGTCGCCCCATTCTCTACCGGGGCTCCGTGTGGGGGTGGGGGCGGGGTCAGAGGTGGGAGGGGGGCGGCCAAAGCAAATGAGGACCTTGACTGGCCTGCCAACAGTGGTCACAAAAGCCTCCTGAGGCCGGCCCGGGCTCTGACAGGAGTGCTACTGAATGTCGGAGCCCCTCAAAGGGCCCGGAGGGTCGGCGGGTTGAGCGTTTCTGGTTTAACGATCCCTTGACGCCCGAGTGGATACAGCCCAGGGCACCTTGCACAGGCAGTTACGTGAGCAGGTGGCCTGTTGCCATCCGGAAGTGCTACCAGAGGGCGGCAGGGTGAAGTTATTTGGGGAAAATGTCCCAAGTCGAATAACACCTGCCTCTTCTGCCCTTAATCCAAAGGTAAACAACAGCAACAAAACTCACTGCCATCGAGCCTAGTCTGACTCGTGTAGGCCAGAATAGGTTTGTGAGACGGTAATTCCTCATCTCCCTCCCCAGCTGGTGGTTTCAAGCTGCTGCCCTGTGGTTAGCAGCCCCACGAGTTTCCTAAAACTCACCGTGCATGGCCCCTGAGCAGTCTGACCACATGATCTTGCCCGGTAACAAACTGCTATTCTGAATCCAAATGAGTCCTGCGGATTGGTTATGCGTTGGGCTGAAGTGCATGGTTGGCAGTTCGAAACCACCAGCCGCTCCATGGAGAGAGCCTGAGCTTTCTGCTCCCACGAGCAGCTACAGTCTCGGAAACCCACAGTAGGGTTGCTATGAGTCAGCAAACCTTCTTGCCAGGTAAGTGTCGGAGTGGGGACTGCAAGCGAGGTCGGCCATTGGCCTATGAAGAAAGATGAGTCTGTCAGCGCCTCTGAAGATTGACAGCCTGGCAGAGGATCTAGCATGACAGTAAGTCGGAGTTAGCTGGATGCAGTGGGTTTGGGTTTTTATGGGTTGTCCAACCCTTATTAAAAACTGCCTGTTATCCAATAGGAAAGCTCTAGACTAATTTTTTTTTTTTACCCCGTTTGAAACTAGCCCGAGCTCCAAGAACACTGCCGGGCAGCTTCAATGTTTCTTTTCGGCCTTTTACGACCACCCAGACCGATGTTTTGATCCGATGGGAAAGGGAACTGGAGGGTATAGACTAATTTTTCATGCTTATATTTTAAGTACCTTATTGACCAAAAAAAAAAACTGTACAGAGGCACATGACTCTGAAAGACACTTTGTGTTCTTTCCAAGGCAGTGTGGCTTCTGTTTGGGATTTTACTTTGACTGTAGCTTCACATCTGAGCTGGATTGGAGCGGCAGTTTTCATTCCCTCTCTGTGTATTTTTAATTTGAGCCAAGTGTTTCATCAGAAGCTCAAGACTGAAAATGGCAACAAAGCCCACATGGAACAACATATCAACCTGTGTGATCACGGGGTGTCGAACAGATCACTGAAGACAAATGGGTGCATAAGCAAATGTGGTGAAGAAAGCTGATGGTGCCCGGCTATCAAAAAGTATAGCGTCTGGGGTCTTAAAGGCTTGAAGGTAATCAAGCGGCCATCAAGCTCAGAAGCAACAAAGCCCACATGGAAGAAGCACACCAGCCTATGCAACCACGAGGTGTCGAAGGGATCAGGTGTAAGGCATCATCAGAACAAAAAATCTCACCATAGTGAATGATGGGGGCAGTGCGGAGTGGAGATCCAAAGCCCATTAGTAGGCCACTGGAGATCCCCTTGCAGAGGGGTCGCGGGGAGGAGATTAGCCAGTCAGGATGCGATGTAACAATGATGAGAAATACAACCTTCCTCTAGTTCCTAAAGGTTTCCTCCCCGCTCCCACTACCATGACTCGAATTCTATCTTGCAAGACTGGCTAGACCAGAGGAGGTACACTGGTACAGATAGGAACTGAAAATACAGGGAATCCAGGATGGATGAGCCCTATAGGACCAGTGGTGTGAGTGGCAAAACAGGGAGGGTAAAGGGAGAATGGGTAGGAAAGAGGGAACCGATTACATGGAACTGTGTGTGACCTCCTCCCTGGGGGACAGACAACCGAAAAGTGGGTGAAGGGAGAAGTTGGACAGGGCAAGATATGACAAAATACCCATTTATAAACTATCAAGGGCTCATGTGGGAGAGGGGAGCGGGGAGGGAGGGGAAAAATGAGGACCTAATGTCGGGGGTTTAAATGGAGAGAAAATGTTTTGAGAAATGATGTACAAATACGCTTTACACAATTGATGTGTGTATGGATTGGGATAACAGTTGTATGAGCCCCTAATAAAATGTTTAAAAAAAAAAAAAAAAAAAGACTGAAAATGATGTCCTTTCTGGTATCTTGTAAATACTATTTCAAAATGAAACTCTTTTGTCACTGCTATTGAGTCATTTCTGACCCTGTAGGACAGGGTAGAACCTTGTGGTTTTTTTGTGACTGTAAATCTTTAAGGGAGTAGAAAGCCTCATCTTTTGCCAGAGGAGAAGCTAGTAATTTCGAACTGCTGACCTAGCCCAACACGTAACTCCCTACACCACAAAATCCATAGTAATGTGATGCCCACCATTATTCATTTGAGTAGTGCAAACAGTTAATACTTTGAGCTATTAACAAAAAAGAATTTGCATATTTGAGTCTACCCAGAGGCACCTTAGAAGATTGGCCTTGTGATCTACTTTTGAGAAATCAGTCTGGTAATCCTGTGGCGCAAAGTTCTGTCCTAACACACATATGGGGTTGCCAGAAGTCTGAATGGACTTGCGAAAAAGCAGTGTGGGAGCCACAGCTGACCTCCCCTGGCTTCAGGAAGGAAAAGGAGAATCCAGCTCCACATCGGGATTTGCCACAAGACAATCCTGCTTCACCCTATTCTGACACAACTGCCCTTCCTTCCCTGAACCCTCCTTCTCTGATGGGTTCAATTTGTTGCACAGAACTCGGGTATTTTTAACTATTGTCGGCCTTAGGGAAGTTAACATGTTACAAGATGGCACGGATACAATTGCTTTGTCTGCAACACCTCAGCCTGGCAGGCACGGCTCTCTGGACCCTAGGTTTCTCAGCCACAAAGCCCTTTGACCTCTGCAGCTCTGCCTCATGATCTTGGTGTGGCTCCTCTGCTGTCTCCTGTCTTAAGCTAATTTCAGTGCTGCTGTTGCTGCTGCTTCTCTGCCACTCTAGACAAGAATCTTGCATATGCTCTTTTTTGTTTGTTTTTTGCATATGCTCTTAATAGTCATGCGATTCCCTCTGTTCCTGCAGCTCAGTGGAATAATAAAACCAACCAATCCCTGAGAGTCCTTTACACCTTATTTGCATGCTCCCAACTATAGTCACTGAGCAGAATTTACAAGGGTATGAATACAAGAGCCATACCAAGGCATTCCATTTCACTGCAACTAGACTGTCATCTTCTAAAAATTATACATTAAAAAAATAAGGATGCAAGCTCTGTTTTCAGTTAAGCATTTTACATTCTTAAATGTTTTGCCTTGATCTAGTATTTCAATTCTACTTCCCCCACAGAATTATATTCTAGTGAAATATATTGATAGCATAGTTTTTAAATTGATTTTCCTATCCGACTTCTGCAACAGACACACAATCACATTTCCCGTCAATTTTACAGCACATTGCTATTGTCAGCTGCCGTGAAGTTGGCCCCAACTCCTGTACAACAGAACCAGAAATTGCCCAGGGCTGCGCCATTTTCACCATCATTGGTATGCTCCAGTGCACTGTGTGGCCTTCCAGCCTACAGGGCTCGTCTTCCAGCCCTTGATCGGACAATAGCCTGTTGTGGTGACCCTTAGGGTTTTTCTTGGCTGGTGTCCATAAGTAGATCACCAGGCCTTTCTGCCTAGTCTATCTGGAAGCTCTGCTGAAACTCGTCCACCATAGGTGACCCTCTGGTTTTCAAGAAACCAGTGACAGAGCCTCCAGCCTCACAGCCAGAGTATAGCAAACTGGCAGGCGGCAGGTGGTTACTGCCACAGGTAGACTAATAGATGGTTTATTTCCATCCATCCTTTCTTTTGATATGTATTTTTTTAATTCAGAGCGATTTATATTGTCTCTGAAATGTAGCTTTCTCATCGTAAAATACAGATAATGATGTCAGCCCTACCTGTGCTCAGGATTGTAATGAGGCGCTGAAAAAAGTGAATACATTGTAGAGCCATGTGCATGCTTAGAGAATTACCCTTAAGTATCTCGGCCTCCGCGCCTCCCTTAGAAAATTGAACCTAAAATCCCCACATTACTGACTATTTCGCTCAAGGGTCTCTCCTTTTTCGTCGTTGCAGATACTTAGAATCCAACTTGAAGTAATGTAAGCATAAATAGGGAACAAATTTGAAAGATACAAAATGTCTCAAGAAACTTGAAATCCATGGACAAGAATGTTAGAGTAACCAGCCTCTGACAATTGTGGGGGGTCTGTAGGTGCAATTATACAGCGATAATATATAAAGATCATAGTAAAGTCATAGAAGATAGGAAAGGTAGGAGAGAATATAATAAAGGAGTCACACATGTTATGGTAGCATGCTCACCTCCTGGACAGCCATGATCTCAGCATCCAGGATCACACAGAGAGCAGGAGGATCCCCCTTTATTTCTGACCAAGCCCCCCTGATTACAGATAGCCACGTAAGTCACAGGAAGGGTCTGTACCATAAGCAATGCAGCAATGGGAGGGGGGTGTTCTAGGGGTGTCCACACAATAGGAAGAGGAGGGATTAGGAATACACATGTGACAAGATGGGCGGATCCTAGATTCAAGATGGCAGCCTAAATTTAGTAGTCCTTGAGCTGGCTTGACTTACTCTGAGCCCTCCTTCAGGAAAGTCATCCACAGACAATAGTCTGGTTGCTCTCGATGGCTGACGCCTTTGGCGAGATAACTTCTAAGCAGCTTGCTTCCAAGTGCACTACAGTCATTTACCATGTGTTGCACGCTGTGTCTGACATATTTGAGGGAGACAACCTGGGGAAAAGCTTTTTTGTATCCCACACAAGAAGTACATTGAGCTTCACAAGGGATTCCAATGGGGGATTGGAAAGTCACTAGAACTGGTAAGGGACATGAGAGTTCCCCTCTCAGAGCAGTAAGTGCCAAGAGCATTGTTGCGCCAAGACTCCCAACTCAAGTCTTGGGCCCAAGCATTCCCCAACAGCTTTGCCCACTGCTTTCTTAGAACTGCACTGCACTCTTAACACCTCCAGCCCAGTTTTCTTTCCTGCCATTCCCCCATAATGTGTGCCCTGCAAGGCAGCTCTCCCAGGCACCTCCAGCTCCCTCCCCTGTCTGCTCACAGGCCTTTCCCCAATACATCTCTTGCTCATCTAACTCTATCTGGACATCTGCGTCTTGGAGGACTCAAAATAATATGGAGACTTAGGTCGTTATTTGGCACCTCCAGGGCCACGTGTCTCATTTTATTTTTACTTACCTGTTTTTTTTCTTTATTCATCCCAACCCCCAAGCATCTGTGCTTTTCCATTTACCTAAGAAAGATATCTCAGCCACAATTTCTAAATGTATGAATTTTCCCAATTTGAGAACTTCCTGCCATCAAGTGGGTGCTGACTCCTAGTAACCCCGTAGGACAGGGAAGATCCGCCCTGGTGGGTTTCCCAGACTGTCACTCTTTATGGGAGTAAAAGCCTCTCCTTGCTCCCACAGAGCAGCTGGTAGCTTTGAACTGCTGATCTTTTGGGAAGCCCAATACACAACCACGATGCCACCAGGAGATACTAATATCTTGGAATCTTCACTCAAAAGGAAGAACCTAATGACCTTACTTGGGTTTGGAGCACATCCCCAGTTCAATTAGGACAGGTATAGCCATGGAAACAAGCTGCATTCGGTTTCAGTGAGGAAATAGAAACCATTAGACGAGAACTGCCTTTTCCCACCACCAGGACTACCCATGTATGACTGACCTCACAGGGTTCTGTGGAAAGGCCCAGAGGATGCCCCATTTTCCAAAGTCTTCAGGAGTGCTGGAGAGAGAGGACTGGCACTATGAGAGGTGCTCGCCGTGGCTCGCCTTCGTAGGTAGGCAGGGCTGAGAGTAAGCGATGCTAGTACAGGAGTAAGTTCACTGATGGCCATAAGCCCACTGCCATTGAGTAGGTTCCATCTTACAGTGACCCTCTGTAGGGTTTTCAAGGCTGTAAATCTCTACAGGAGCAGACAGCCGCAACTTTCTCCCACGATCGGCTGGTGTGTTTGAACCCCCAACATGGCAGTTAGCAGTGCGATGGTTACCCGACAGCTCCACCAGGGATCCTTAGTAATGGCAATGGGTGTCCCACACTAATAGGCCAGGTTGGTGCCCCTTAGCATGAACCAACGCAAGTGTACTTAGCATAGTGAGTGGCAATTTTGACGTGACAGCCAGGAAGCCCTGACCCTCCAGGAACAATGGAGCAAGTTAATAAAAGATGGCATCCCAGAGGCAGAGAGATGGGCAGTGTCTTAGCTACCTGCCACCACCACCCACCAGGAAGTCCGTTGCGATTCACGGTGAGTTATGTAGGCTTTCTGATGCTGTAAGTCTTTATGGGAGCAGAAAGCTCTCATGGTGGGTTCAAACTACTAACCTTGCAGTGAGCCGCCCAACACACAGCTCAGTACACCAGGGCTCCTCCTCAATACCTAGTGCTGCTGAATCAACAGTACCACAAGAATGCCTTGGGGAATAGAACTTTATTTCCTCGCAGTTCAGGAAACGGAAAGCCCAAATCAGGGCCTGAGCCTTCTGCAGCCCTCGCTCCTTCCAGCAATCCTTGCCATTCCTTTACTTGTAGTTCAGTCCTCAGTGCTGTTCCCCCTCCCTCTTCCTGCGCTCCCAGGTCTCTCTGTCTGTTGTGCTCGTTTTCTAAGACACTGCTCAGATGATTACCGGTAGATTTAGCAGCACTCCGACTGCGGTATGACCTTGTGAAAGGCCTTGTCTGACGTCGGGAGAGATGATAATCCCCTGCAGCATCAGCACAAAGCTGATCTGTGAGATGGAGCTCAGGCATACCGTCACTCTCCAAGCCTCTTTCCTAGCTCCCCCACAAGCCTGCCTTCCCTCCCCAGCCACACTGGATTTCTCTGCTGGGTTTGATCATTTGTTGTAATGACCACGCACAACTCACACATCACCATTATGGGAAGTAACAGCTTACCATCCAGGTGCAGGAACGTGGGTACAGTTCTCTGAGCCCTTTGGGGGGCCTTGCTGCCACAGAAGCTTGCTGGGCCTGACCTCTGCCTGACTTGGCCAAGTGTTACAGCTTTCTTTAGCTCTGCTGATAAGTGGCCGGAGGGGCCACACTCAACCAGGAAGCTTCCTGCCTGAAGGTGCTCCACTCAAGCTCTGTTAGTGGCCAGCCAACCGCAGCTGTCAGCCAGGCCAGTGCTGCCACACTGCCTCCTGAGTCTGGGATGTTCTCAGTGCAGGGCCCTGTATCTGAAGGGCTGTGTCTGAGCTACTGGGGCTCCTGCCTCTTCTTTTTGGTGATATTGAAGTCCTTCCTCAACCAAGTGGGATGGTAAAAGTGACCAATCCCCTGGGTGGGCCACAGGCATCTTATTTCCATATCCCAGTCAAGCCCAGCAAGAAGTTTACATACCTTTAGTTTTATAGCCCCACCTAAATGTGTGGGAGTTATAAGACCAATGCTAGAAGGGCGATATAAAAGTAATTCATCTCCTGGCACTGTCTCGGACAATGTCCTCCTTGTATGCACTAGGCGTCCGTATCTGACAGTGTGCCCAGCCTATCCAGAAGGTTTTCAGCAGCTGACTCCTCCAAAGTGGACAGCCTGTTCCTGCTCCGTGGTCTGTCCTACGTCTGGAAACTGCTGAAACCTGTTCATTTTGACCTTGCTGGTATTTGAAATACCGATGACATAGCTTCCATCATCACAGCAACACCCAAGCCACTGCAGTACGACAAACAGAGAGACAAGGGGAGACATAGTTCCTTTAGGAGGATGCATGCCATCTATACGGGGCAGTCAACAGAGGGATTACCCGATTTATGTGATCCCAAGAGATGCAAGATGGACAATCAAAAGAAGCGAAG